AATCAAGCTTACATGCAATTGTTGGAATGTTGTAGAGAACTTATGCGTAATATTGAAATCTTATAAAGAACCTCTAGCCTGGTAGTTAAGCTAATGTGTTTAAAATTGTTAAGCTATCCCGCTATATAAGAAGCAGGATCAGTCAGGCAAAAGCTCAAGCAGTCAGTCACTCAATCCACAACTCCTGCAGTTTCGCAATTCGACAGGTCGGTGAGTTACTCAATCAGACAGCCCGCGCAATCACTCAAAGAGACAGTATAGTCAGACACTCAACCACGACAAAGAACGACAATACGACAGTTCAACAGCAGGAGTGACAAGACCATTTGATATCCTTTAATACTTATTGTGTATTGTTCATTTCGTCCCTATTATTGTTTCAATACGATATTGTACCATATCATATAAGACTAATAAAGGTTACTATCAACTTTGCGGAGTATAAATTACAAAATTTTTTCCCGAAATCAGTAGGTGGTACGAAGGCATGATCTACTCGGTTGCAATAATGATATCAACCTTCGGTCACTGCTTAGGTTCTTTGGTTATATGGTTAATAGCGTAATAAAATACCTGTTCAATCCGTAATTGCCAACCAGTACGATTGTTGCGGAAATATTTGCCCCTGAAAATATGGATATGATAAATATAAGATTATTAGAATCATTGTTCGAGTCATTTGCATGAGTTGATCAAGTAAATATAAGTAAAGTGAATAAGCCGTAGTAAATAAGTAGATAGTTTTGGAGGTTCAACAACCAGTGAATACACAAACATCAGGGAAGCAGTAACTCACCAGTCGATACGTCGGTCATCAATAACAAGTATACACTTATGTGGTCCCTGAATATACGATGCAGCATTGGTGGCTGCTTGCATCAGATTTTTGGTTATGCCTTGAACTTGTGAATACATAGATATTGATTGTTTGGATGGTGACGTTGGGGCGCTAAAAGAAAAAATTCGATTCCTTCAGTACTGCAATTGCAGACATCATCTTTGGCTAAATTTTGATACTCGCATGATGCAAGTAATTGTCAAAGAACCGAATTTCACTCATTTTTTCACAAATGAAAAAAAACCGCACTTATTCCCGGTTGTGTCTTCAATGAGATAATTTTTCCTCAAGAATATATTCTGAACATGGGACATTTCAGAATATCTCTGAAGAACGGATCAGCCAATCTTACCCACTCTTCACACAAACAATAAAAAAAATCATTCTAATATTAGGATCGTTGCAACAGCAACTATGATAACAGTAGTAATAGTAATTAAAACTTATTAAACGGATTTGCTTTCTTCATTCTACTCCTCCATTACTTAGTTTTAATTGGTACCACTACCGACATCTTTATTTTTCTTAATATTATTGCATATCCTATCTGTAATATCATAAATGTCTATAAATATTACTTTCTCTCATCATCAGAAATGTGATAGATTGATATTACCACCCAATGCATCAATGCAATCCGATATTTTAATTTCTATATAGATTTTTTCGTTATTAGAGAATTCCAACTGTATAATTCAAAAGTTGACCTTATAGCACTGGAGACTTTATTAGCAAGACCAGCCAGTGAAAAACTATTAGGAGGTCCATTCTGGATATGTGATGAAGTGTTGGAGGACTGTTGTGCTTGTTGCTGTTGTTGTGGACTACGTCCACCAAAAACTGAAGCAGGCGTCGATTTGTCGTCGTCTTCAATATCTTGAGAACTAAACCGACGCCTGAGAAAGTTGACCCCACTGGATATGCTTTCCATAATTTCGTCTCTTCTAGTTAGTGCTCCTCCAAATCGTTAAGTATCTTCACTGGCTGTGTCGGCAAGCAATGACTAGCTTCTCCTGTCATAGAAATATTCGTCAAAAACCTGAAATATAAAATGTCGTTTCTAAGCTTCGAGACAAAAAAGGTTTTAAATCAAAAAATGAATGGGTGATGATGGAAGCAAAGCAAAAAACTGCTAAATTTTATGTTCCATTGTATGGTTCCACCAATTAATACTACAATGGAGGAAGCAGGAAGGATACGACAAGAAAAATATGTAACATTGGATCGCTGTCAGAAGAAAATCCCTAATGGATTTATACCAAAAAGCTAGTCATTGGTGATTGCCTATCCTTCTTTCTTCTTTGAAAGCTACAAAATGTCCGATAAATCTTTCCTATCTTTAGAATAATTTCTAGTCTATACACTTCTCTGAATAAATTACATATATGCCCATGTATTTGGCGAATGTGTATTTAACTCCATTTATTCCGCCTATCCTTCACTATTCCCAGCTTTTTGCAGTCACGATCATAATTCACTCAATGGATTAATCATCTTAATTAATTTTTTTGGTGAAATTCCAGCAAATTAAAAAGCTCAACAATATGACAAATTTGAATTAAGAAAATTGTTCCACATATATTGATTCAGGCTCACTTTTCATCAGAGATGCTAATTTCCAGTACAAATCTTTTCAATGAGGTTATGATACGTCCAAGCAGTTAGTAATTTGGGTAAAATTTTTCAGTTCTCACAACCTACTTGGTTTACTACACGTTCTTCCGTTTCGGCGCCTCAGTCATTAAATTTTTTTGATTTGTGTATCACAATGCATTAATATGTGAAATAGAACCCAGTACTTATCGCCTTTTCATGAAATTCGAATCAACGAATTTTCATGATTACGATTAAATTAATATTCAGTTATAGCCTCTCTAAACATGATTGTTGACGATAAAAAAAAGATCCTGCAACGAAATTTAATTTAATAACTAATTTAATGACAGATACCTCTGTAACCGAATTCTCCAATACCAACTTCTGGTAGAATTCCAGTCAGTGAGAGGTAATACGCACTATTTTTTTGATTTAAATTTGATGGATCCGATGAGAGAAAGTGGTAATGAAGAGAAATGAAATTGATAGAAAACAAAATAAAACTAAAATCAGTAAAGTACTATCAAACCAGTTCAAAACCAGAACTTTCAGGATATTCGGCGTATAAAGACTCCTGTTAGTGAAGCAACGACATCCAAACACAACGGAGCATCATTTTTCCGAATGGAACTCATAAAGCTAACCACTTGACAACTTATCCATTCTATTCCACCCACCGATTAACATGCCAGCGGAAAGTGGAAAGCAATATAAATGATGTAATAAAAACTTTCCATATCTATTTATTGTGCCTTTCTCGTCAGACAGTGGAAATGAAAAATTTTTTTTCTTTTGGTTTGGTTTCAAATGCAAAGAATACAACTAGCTGTATTAAAAGAATTCCAAATTAACTAAGCAATAAGAGGTGCATTTCATGGAAATGACAGGTATTAAAAGAATGTATGCGGTCGGGAATGCAGGCATTAATGCCCTGCCTTCCTTGTTTTTTTTTCAGTTCGTGGCGTAGTTACTAATACCGTTTAGCAGAATCGAAATTGTCAATTGTCATCACATTGAGGCTGGAACAATCCTGATTGTCTTGCTTACTTCAAGCTGTTTTTTGATCGCTCTCTTCAAGATTATAACTGATACTCACTGTAAAGTCGATTTTTGATGTCGTTTGTTGTTTTGAAATTTGATGACGTTGAAGATAAAATGGAAATTAAATCTTAAATGTGGCGCAGTGGAAATACCGCTGCCATAAAGCTCAAGAAATGCATTTTTTGAATTGGATAATAGTTTTTGTTTTGCCTTTAGTCATATCTCATTCCATTACTTTTAAAGGAGCAAAATGACGTTTGAATGGTCATTCAACAGTTGTTTGATTTACCTTTTAAAGTAAAAAAGGCAAAGTCTGATAGTTTAAGATGGCTTGTTTCTACACCTTTAAGAGCACTGGCTTAGTTTTGAAAACAATTATCAATCGATAGGCAAATGTATGCAAAACAGGCAGAAAGTTGTGAGGGAAGCTCTATTTTAAGTTATTTTATTATTATTTAGACGTTGACAAATATTGGCGGTGAGAAAGTTTTGAGATATGCAAGGAACATTTTCAACGTCTGATACAGAAATGGCATTGTAACTAAATTACGTGGCTGCCTTGCAAGATATAAGATTTGTTTATGAATTTAGCTCTACTTCAAAAAACTTTAGAAATTCATTCTCAAAAATATGACTTAAGGAAATCCCTTATTCCATTAAAGGGCTGAAAACTCCACGATTTTAGAGCACCTAAACCAAATTCAAACCAGGATAATAGTCCTGAACGTGGCAGAACTGCAATAAAAAAAAAAAACTTTAGCGTGACTCAGTGACTCAGAGATACTCCGCTCAAATATTGACGAATGGAAACGAACATGAATCGGAGGAAATCAGTATGAAGGAAGAATTTAAGAAGGAAAGTTTGAAGGAAGAATTCTTTTCATAGTCGAAAAGAATTTAGTTAAAAATTTGTTGTCTCATCATGGTTAATTTAGTATCTTTACCTTCATTTTTAAAGGAACATATATTTTTTTTACTTTTTCCTTCTGTATCTTTTTAAGAAAAGTTAAAATTCGCAAATGAATTGCAAGGGACTCTTTAAATCAGTAAGTCATTTTCGGACAGAACATCTAAATGAAGTAATTTGAACTTTTGATCAATCCGGGATGTGATCCTTCAGGAATTGGGACAATGAGTTTTAAACAAAAATTACCGACTCCAAATTCTTTACTTTTTATAGTTTAAACTAAAATATGGAACAGCCATCTATAATAAATCATTCCCTTTAAAAAAAAAAAGAAAAAAAAGATTTCTGCTGAATGATAAAAAAACTGAGTTGTATATAGATGAAGGTGAAATCTAACAGCAATCTTGTACTATTATTCTATCTATTCAATTATTTATCTAAACTGACTTACTAGTTAGGCCGCCAATGAAACCTTCAGGAATGACATTAGAATAATCCGGATAGTAGTGGATACTTTGAAAAACAGAGAAAGGATTCGAGGAAAAGGGAAATAAAAGTTATTAATAAATATGTATAATATGCAATATTATATTATTACACTTCCCTTCAAAATTTTTATTAGGAAAATGTGGTACGTAAGAATATCTTAAACAAAAAGCATGCACAAGAAGAAACACTTTAAAATTCAAGAGAATATAGGACATTAGAATGGAAATAAGAGGAAGATGAAAGATTTCTTCCTTATTAGGTTTAGTCTAGCACATCAAAGCTAAAGAGCCCAAAGACCAAATAAGCCCAAATGAAAATGAAAAGATAAATCAATAGCAATCAGTGAATTGGAAAGGAAGGACTAGAATAGTTAGTTGTCTGCTATTCTAAAAATAAGATTTATCATTGAAAAGCTATTGCCAGCTATATGCATCATTTTCCTATTCCATCAAAGCTATAATTTTATTCCAAAAAAAAAACCTATCATTACTATCGGCTTTAGCTAATAACACGCACACTATTCTTATTTTTAATTATTGTTGTTATTACAGCTCGAAAACCGAATAATACTTGTTGTTGGCATCGGTATGATTGATAATAGCAATTACATTTTGCTTCAACGTCTGTCAATAACTAAAATTCACGTGTAAAGTGGGGACATCCTAAATTGGTCGATGATAGCAAAGCTATCTCTATAATCCGATCAAATACTGCTCGATCATATTACAAAAAAAGGCAAAACTTTTTAAGAATTTTTATTTACCAGGGATGATATGAAGCAATTTCCTTTTTTTCTTGAAAATAAATTTTAACCTTATAGAAAAAAGCTTGGCAACAAGCAATTTAGAAAACCAGAGTCATTTTGGCTTACATCCTTGTTTTAAGCATATAAAGGGAATAAAAAACAATGATGCTTTTCATTTCAATTTATAATGCTAACTTGTCTAAGCCGTATCGATTTCAGGAGTCCCTGGAATGCTCGTAAATTCTTTAAAAACTTTGAAGTTTATCCATTGAACTATTCATCGTAGATTTTAAAAAAAAGTTACTCTGTCCCGCGGAAATCATAAACATTTCCTGTGGAGAGGTACTTCATCAGGTGTGAAAGTTGGGGAGAAAACTGCATAAGTAATCGATGCGTGGAAGCATTTTTTCCATAAAGAATGCAAGCCACTTCCCCATCTTTATCCATCCTCCACACGCATGCCTTATTCATAAATTTTGAAAGAATTCACTTCATATCATTCAGTCTTCCACCCTTTGTAATTGTAATACCGAACACAAAGCACAAATAACATGACTTCTAAAGATTCTTAAGACTTCCCCGACCTCCTGCGAGACATACACTACAAAGCATCAAAGTTTTCGACCTTTCCTAGCAAAGGAAAGGTCGAAGACTTTTACTTTGACATTTGAAAGACATCAATAATTATTGTGCACTGAAGTTATGCTCTAATTTAAACCCTTGATTAATGTATCCGAAGGATCGAGATCAATTAGATTGATAACGAGATACACTGGAATATCACATCAATAAGAACGCTTCACCTGGTTATACAGCGCGTATAATCTACTGCCTTACTTATCGATATCAACTGTATACCGAAAAACCTTCTGTATTTTTTTTTTTTTGGTTCTTTTGCATATGCGAACGGTTGTAATCACTTCCATAATGTTTGATATCTATGGATTTTCAGCTTAATTGTGAACAGAAATTTATTTTCGGCAATGAATCCAAACAGGATCACAAATAATATAAGACAAAGTCAATTATGACATAAAGCTGATGAAGAAAACACCGATGAGCCGAAACTGTCATACTGAATATTGAACTGAAACGCTTCTGAGGTAAGCAAATATGTAGTAGCATGGTTTACATGGAATGTTACAAAAATAGATCTAACTTTAAGAGAGAAGCACACATCAGGTAAATTACCAAATCAAATCTTTTTGTCCGCAATTTTTTGGAGTATTTACTGAAAAAACAGGATTAAAACAAAGAATCAAGATTAAAAACACTTTTTGACTGACTGGTATAATTAACCTTTTCATAAATTGTAGACATCTATCTCTAAAATTATGAAAATATGACCCGAAATATTTCAAATCGTTATTATAGGTTTCATTGCTTCCTCCGCAGAACTTTTCGTACCTGACAAAGTGCTAGATACTCTGGAAAAAAAGTAATGAAGAAAGCAACTAGCTATCTCATATTCATTGCCGATTTCAAAGACTATATGACGAGGCCAGTTCCAGCTCATATTGAATCCGACTAGAAAACAGTTGATTTACATCCATTTCGATTAAATAAATAATCTTCCATCAGTTCAAATTTTCCCTTTAAATTAGTACTAATTAACTGAACTCCTATAAGCTTAAATTTTGCTTCTAAATTAATAACAATTATGCACAGGACAAAGGTACAGAGTCAAGGCATATTTGAAAAGGAAAAAAAAAAAAAACTAGAACACAACTTTCAAACTACCCGATCAGATACATTTAAACTGACGCCATATAACATAAACAACATCATATTAATAGAGAGAACATAAGTTCCCCACTGATCTACACATATTTGATATAATTCTGAGATCCAATACAGAAAAAGCAAAAAAAAACAGAACCTTAAAATATCGTACCAAAAAGACAGAAGTGGAAGCATTATTACGAAGAAAAATCTTTCTAGCTAATGCAACCCGTTAGAAATATAGTTTCAAATTTACATTCTGCGTCTTTTGGCACGTGGCGAATCAGTGAACGGCCAATGGGAACGTTCTGTTTCCGGTACGCTGCGTACATGCCGCACATATTCAGCAACCGCACCAAAACGCTGAATCAATTGCGGATCGACCTTAATTAAAAGCAGTCTTTCAAAAGATGACAAGAATTGGAGATATTCGGACCCAAATAAAAAAAAATTCCGCCATTCACAATGCTGACAGTAAAAATAACTAGATACTTCAAGTATCAGGAATATAAGTTTTAAAAAACCAAAACAAAACTAGGCGACATTGCACCCACTGGACTGTGAATCAGATAATCAAATTAGCATAGGCTTAATCAGAGGGTAGATTAAATGGAATGGCAGACATTGGTAGCATTTTATACTACGCTAGTGTACAGCGCAACCAACAGTACTTCTATCGATAGAAGACACGCCACACTAAATAGTCAGACAACTACCATGAAGCAAACAATAAAATTATTTTGGTTGATATTGCATCGTTTGCGGATAATGATTTTTAACATGATATATCGTTATTACATACAAAGACCCAATTTAATGTTTTGTGCAGCAAAATAGATATCTGCAATAATTATGTATCTCTCACCAAATGAATCTAAGGAAAAAGGATAATAGCTCAATTTTTAGGAAATCTATTTTCTCCTGCATCTTTTCTCTTTCATAATGTATTTTTTATATACTCATTACGCATAATAGCTTACCAAGGAGAGTGCAATAGTTAGTTCCTCATCATCCTTCGATGGAAACCCCTCATAAATATAAACTGGCTCCGGTGACGATGGTGGTGTATAATAATCGAAATCAACAGAATCACTTCGTTCGTCACTACTGCTAGTATGTTCATGTTGAACAGATGAAGTGCCGACACTTGAATCAGAAGTTAAGAATGATTCGGAAGCCACAAAACCTTCTAGGAAAAGAGCATCGTCTTTAGGTGCAGAGTCGCCTGAATCCAAAAGTGCATCAGCTGATGACGAATCCAAATGAAGATTTGCCAACCTAAAATTGACTTGGGTTCTTGTAAAATGTTTCAGTATCTAATCTTCATAATTAAAAGCAAAAAGGTTTGCAAAGCCCAAAAGTTGAGAAAAAAAGAAAAAGCAAACAGTACACATTAGTTCCGGAAAGCATTTCTTGGAAGCAAAAAATGTTGAAAGAGCAAACAAAATTTTTGGATTTTAAGGGCAAGTTTTCGAATAAATTTTACTAATAATAGAAGTAACTATCGGTCAAAAATTCTTCCGATCAAATGTATGGACATGATCGGTATAGACTGATGAAAGTGTAAATCACAGTTTTTTGGGAAAGGAAGACTGCATCTGTTTTCAAAAACATGTCACGAGCATTTTGAAACGATAAGTGGTAACAAAATGGAAATTGAAAAAGCAAGAAGGATCAAAGTACGTGGACGTAAACACAGTAGAAAGAAAATTACACTACCAGTGAAAGTGATCACTGTTCGCATCCACGACTTCCCTGCTGTAATAATCAAGTGAAATTCCGAACTAGCAGAAATTTATGCAGTCACATACGTGTTTTTGGGCCTGCTTAAATTTTGAAACGAAGAAAAAAAAACATGAAAGTTAGATCTACCTTTTCTTATTTTGAGAAGCGAAGCAACAGTAGTAACTATATGTGCCAGATCAACCTTTCATTATTTTGAGGAGCACATTACAAGTAACTAAATTTGCCAGATCAGTCTTTCATTATCCTGCATAACGAAATACCACTGGTAATAGATGCAAAGATGCAAAGATATGAAACGTTTCTGTTCCAAGATCTCAGAAAATAAAAACTGTTTTAAACTGGAAAACTTGCTTGTCTGTTAATCCACTAAGTGATCTGCTATGTGAATCATTGGTTTCTCGTGCATCGCTTTCATCTCTTTCATCCTTTACATAAACGGTGTCAGAGGCATCCGAAAAAAATACAGGATCGTCATCGCAGTCGAAAGTGATAACGTGAACTGAATGAACCGGTGGATGTAATCTGATGTTCACAAGACGGCGATTTAACTCCTCTAGTCCTGCAACAATGAATAGTTCATCAAGATTTCAAAATAAGGGATCATATTTTTTTGCTCAATGCAATGAAGATTTCGTGAAACCTTCCAATCTAGAATTTTCTTTAAAAAAAGAATTAAAATGTTAATTTAAAACACTATCGAGAAAGAGTACAACAGACCTGAGTAAGATTGAAAGTCAAGCAGTTTATTGCAAAAATTCCAGCGTTCCATCCAAGTTATTTTATATTCACTAGCAAGACGTCGTCCAACACGTTCAGCACCTTTTCGAGGATACGATCTACGACAGTCTTTTTCTTCTATTTTCCATGTTTCATAAAATTTCTGTGCCATAGATTTATCAGCGAATGGTCCTTAAATAATTTATCACGGATATACCGGGAACTAAATCCATAAAGATAACTTGCCCACAAGCATTTAGTGGAAGATCCAAAAAACAGTAACAATTTATTGTCTATGTCTTGTTGTTCGGGCCTTTTAAATGATTACATTTCTGCACTGTTTTATAGCGGCAGAAAATCTTTCTTATCCCATTGATGAATAGGAATCTGCAAGGACGATTCACTGTCTTAGCAATTAAATTATTGAAACAAAAAAAGGCATTCAGTTTAACAAGAATTACCAGCGTAAGCTGCAAGTTCGCATTTTTCCAAGGCCGACATGCATACGGAAGATCCAGATGCATCGTTTGGAAGTGTATTAGCCGGTACTTCATCTGAAAGTGAAACATTGCAACGTGTGCAATCAACATTTGAGATAAAAGAGCAGCACAGATTTATTAATAAAACCTAACAAAGGCCTAGAAAAATGTAGCATTCTATAACAACAAGAATGATGTACTGATATAAGTTGAAAAAAGTGACATCAAAATTTCGAAAGCTATACCAAGAAGTTGGATTGTTACTGAATAATAATTATCCGTTGGACGATAAAGTGCAACGAAAAAAGAAAGGAAAAGTCGCATCATTACAGCACGGAGATCTTCCTTATCACGGCCAACATATCTTGTGCAACAAATTTGAGCAGGAGTAAAACCCATTCTAAATTTCTATACTTTTAGGGCGAATTCAATCTAAATGCCAGCAAGAATCAACTTTTGTATGAAATTTTCAAAAAAATTAACCCTGTGTCTTAGCATATATAAAGCCTAGACTGCTAACTAAAGATTTTTTTCTGGTAATGATAATGAAGGAAATTCAATGAGGTACACACAGGTCCCATCAGTGAACTTACAGCATTACATAAACTTGGTTTATAATATAGATGGAATTGAATAACCTAAAATAAAATTTATATCAGCTTACTTGTTAATGGGATTTTTCTGGCACACGCTGTAACTCAGAAGTAGCTCAACAAAATGAGAGTGTCCAAATTTTGATGCAAAATGTAATGGTGTATCGTGTGAACCTTTGTCCGGCATATTAAGGTAACAATCAAGAAGTATACGTGAGCGCATCCTAACATCATCTTCCGATGTCCCTCAAACAATGAATTTCATGTTTTATGAGCCAAAAAAGATAATGTCTACTTTCTACTACCTATGGGTAAGCACATGACCCCAACTACTTTCCACCTTTGCCAGTTAGCTTCCGAAAGGAGTGATGAATTAAAGAATCCATTACGAAATTTAAAAAATTCAAAAGCAACTAAATCCATTCACAAACCATATAAAGTAAGCAATGCTTCACTATCGCAGACAAGATGCAGAACGTATTTAGCGACGTATAAATTGCCAACTTTAGCAGCCAGATGCATAGCATTATAACGAAACCCTTCAACTACGATTGTTGGTGTGTCACTTCCGATGTTGATCAGATAACGCGGATTCTGTAAAGCCATGTCCAGGAATAATCCATCGTCCTAAATGGAAGTCTCTTTCAAAAATAGCAAAAGGTAGAAAAAGTGATGAGATTAAATATAAGACCGTAAGAGAAAATGTCAACAGTGTATCTCTTTTCTTCGTAAATTCATGGACACATAACTATGTACCTTCAATTCGATTGCCTTTTTCAAACGATTGAACATAATTCGAGACACGGACGGGAAAGATGAACCTGGTTCGCCTGTAGGTTGACTTCTAATTGATATTTCTGGACTTTTGCAAAAAACATCACCATTTTCGGCATAATTTTTTGCGTCATCCTGACTTTGGAAGCGCTTGAAACGAGCACCTAAAGAATACACAAATAGTTTATGCATAGTATTCAAGCTATTTCTTGTTGTATAGTTGCACTTTATTATTTCATATAATACATCCTGGATACCTAACCCTTTGCTTTACTTTCCGGAGTGTTCGCAAAACTGGATGCTTCCCTCAGGGTTGTGAATACGGCACCTTCACCAGATATCCCGTCATCTGGTGACGGGATATGTACAGCGTAATATTCTTCTGACTGTTTTGATTGCTCCATTTCACACAGCTTTCATACTATCTGGAATATAAATCCAAGGATTTTTCGACAGAAAAAAAAAAAAAACAAGGAAGCAGCAAAAGGAAATGCTCCATAACGTTAGCAATCGTATAGAGCCTGAAATTCATAAGAATAGCTAATTGTCTAATTTATACTTTGTACTCCTATATATTTCGCTATATTTCAATTTACTTGCACCAAATGACAAATTACGATATTCTATGCCACCACATACAGTAAAAAAGCTAACAAACATCCCGTACTTTTATGTCTCGGATATATACCTAGCTTTAAATATTAGTCTTAAGTTCTTATCTGGATTGCAGAATGAGTTGTATTAAAAACGCGAAACAAAAGAGGTCACTCACTGTAACCAACTTTAATGCAATTTTTCTTCGCAGCTAATATCTATAATACGTGTTACTTCACTTCCATTTTCACTGCATGTCAATTCGTCAACTGTCCACGGTAATCCTCTCAATGGCAACATTCGAACAATTCCTAACGAATCCGTTCAAACGATATCAAAACATCCAATTAATATGTCACCCGAAAAGGATGACGCAACATTCTTCATGCTAATGAAAACACAAACAACATATTTGAAAAATACCTTAATACAAAAGAACAGAGATCGTTGCAGGACCCATCATCTATTTTGAAAGTACTTTGCTTCTCAGACATCGTTATCACTCTCTCGTCTATTTCCCCTCACTATCTGCCGTTTCTTCAATTGTCCCCTCCTCCATTTAACCTATGCTGTTACTGTCTGTCTATTCACAAATCTCCTCACTCTCTGATTGCAAAGCATTTCGCTAATCTTGTCAATACGCTGTTCCAAATTACTGGATTTGTTCCATTTTACCAACCTTTCAGCCATACTATTTCAAATCTTTTCAATCTTTAGTCCTCCTCATCAGCAATAATCTCCTCTCCATTACCGAGTTAGGGGACGGAGAATTACAAATATATGATAACGTTGTTAGTAATACTGAGATTGTTTCATCAGGTGATGAGCGGTCGGATGTTTGTGGACGGGATGTGCACTACAAAACTTCTATCAGATGTTCTCTGTTGTCCTACATCTGTGATCAGTCTTATCTCACTTAGCAGTGCTTGTGAGATACTATTCATTGTATTAAAGAGTTTTCTGGAGAGGATACTATCATCGAAGCGGAAAAGAGACTCATATAGTTGATATCACTAGAAAAATAAACTGTATTCGGGATTACTACCATTTATTATTATTATTATTATTTTGTAATTATTATTATTATTATTGTTATTGTTGTTATTGTTATTATTGTTATTATTGTTATTGTTATTGTTGTTATTATTGTTATTATTTATTATTATTATTATTATCATTATTATTATTGTCATTATTATTATTGTTATTATTATTATTATTGTTATTTATTATTATTATTAATTATTATTGTTGTTAATTATTATTAATCATTATCATTACCATTATTATTTGTTTACACAAATAAGGTTATTCAGGATTACTCTTCTTTTATACTACCAGTCATCTTTTTCCAACAAATCCCGCAATATGGTTTCCTTAACGAAAATGAAGATGCAGAAATATCGGCAGTTATAGGGACGGACTGGATTAAAGATTTCACCAATCCTAAGAAATGCTGATAATATACCAATAAGAAGCGATAAAATGAAGATTGCTAGATGGCACGCCACTCATGAATTGCCGCTACTAAATGATATGATATCTGATAATAATATAACTGTCTTTATATACCATGTTTTATTCAAAATTTTCAGTACCAACTAAGCTTCTTTTTCCTTGTTTTTGACAGTCACATATTTGAACAGTTTGTTTAATAGGTACATCATTTGAATAAAACAAATGCAAGAAAGTAGTCAACGAATATTTACTGACTGACTATCCACTGCTGAAAAATATAATTAAATTGCTTCTTTTTTTTGAAGATTCGCTATTTATACTGTTTTCGATGAATTCCTTAGTTATTATTTCGGAAAGTCTCTAAACTTCCCACTTTTCGGTACCATAACATTCCAGTGCACCACTGAACTAACTGCATTTCTTATGCACTAACTCACTTGTGTCGATTTGTTATATGAATCGCCATCTTCTGTTCAGATTGCTAACGAATTTAATAAGGTGTTATTTTGCTTCTTTTTTTTTCCAAAAGAAAAAGGAAGATTGTTAGGCTCATTGAATCATCGATCTTGTCAGTTATATTCCCCCGAGTGCTGTTGAAGCTAGTTGAGGTGATCCAAATCGTCGATAATTTGTCAGATTTTAAATAAATACGATGTTTATTTTAGTAAGCAAAGGTCAAGTCTCTTGCATCTTGCATATGACGTCAAGATGTTGTGGACACTTTATAAGAATAGCAGTTCAGTTTATAGTTACTGATCAATTGAGGAAAACATTAGAAATGTCAAAAGTTTTAATTCTCTGGACTTGATTAATACATTTAATTAAGGATTCTACTAACTTTATTTATTTCGGTTTGAATTTTTCTAACTCTATTTTGGAATCAAAATACGATTCAAATTTGAGTTTGAAGCAAATTTTAAAAAATTAGTATTTATTATGTATCATTTTTTCTTAATAGACAATTCTGCGCATCGTGCTTGCTGGCTTATTGAAAAGTATAGCTTTGCCAATATAAAAACCACTTTGTATGATCTGCTTTCTGTAGAATATCATATCTAAGTTGTAAAGAAAATGCATGAACAAAAACATCATGCATGGAAAGTCTTGAATCCCCTATACTAAAGTTGCCGGATTCTAGTGTTGATAAGTGTCAAGTCGGTAAATTGTCAGTAAGCTTTACAACTGAATGATAATCACTATCGTTAGCATTCTTTGCACATCAGAACTATTATTTTTGGATCTTTTCAAGGCACTTGAAAGGATAATCGTGTTTGTTGCGTACTAGTTTCTATAGTAACCGTATTTCCTTGACGTTTACTTGGTATAAGAGATGCCGTATTTCCTTAACGTTTACTTGGTATAAGAGATGTTCATTTAATTGTATTTATTGTGATCCAAGGAACTTCCTTAAGCTAACCTGAATAGCGGATTAATTGGTGACAGCTATTTCGGCCTATTATTAAAGGTTCGCACGTAATCATACGTGACGTAGAGTAGGGTTTTGTTAGGAGGCTTGTTGCAATAAATAACAAAGGTCGTAACATTGTGCTGCTTTCGTTTTCAACTTTTTGACCTAGTCGCTTGTATATCTCATTTTTTTCGTAATTGAAAGTCATGAATCAGTAATTTTGGCCAATAATTTGTATGACTAATGAGAAACTGATTTGACTGTAAGCGGTTTGACACGATTTCGCCTCCTTTTTTTTTTCTTTTCATTTTATTATGAATAAATGCTCATTCATTTTTCATACATTTCTGCATTTTGCAGAGGATGTCTACACTTATATTTGGTGTTGGTCCTGGTGTTATTGTTGTGATACTTATATGGATTTTTAGTATTATTTTATGTATTATGTGTATACGGATACGAAGAACGTAAGTCATGTTCTGCTTCTCTTTTCAGCAGCAAGTATATTTAATTGTTGTCTTGAAAAATCATCCTTGTTACTTTTTTTCAGTTTTATAGCGATCGTTGCTTTGGTTGTTGAATTTATTATTACATTAATCATAATATCCTGGCCTTTGGCTGGACCTACACCGATTTCTGAAAAAGTTGAAATCTCTGTAGATTATGTTGGTATTCCGCGATGCATTTTGGCCATTACAGAGGCTGTGATTTTATTAATATTTTGTATCGAGTATGTAAAATATGACCTAACTGCACCTATATTTGCTTCAACTATTGTTTTAGATTAATAAACGGTAAAAAATTCTCTATTAACCGATCTCATTCCGGAAGAAATTACTTTTTAAATCATTTGCAATACAGCGTGCTGTAAATTTTATGAATTGCATAAGTTTATTCCACATAATGTTAGCATAAATAATTTGAGTCTGTAAACGAAAATTTTAAGATTTAGTTGAAGAATAACTACTCGTTGAACGCCATACTTTCGTGCAATTGGGATTGTGAAGACACTCCGCTAGAAGTTGATTTGTCACAAAAAATTTTGCATCTTTCCATGCTTGAAACTGGAAAAAACACGATATGGGCACCGAAGATGATCAATTAAAAATTTCCAGTAACAGTTATAGAATCTCAACTTCATCGTGCGAAGATTTTAAAGACACTTAATTCCAGTTCTTTTTTTTTAAATCCTGCAGCTTATCGATTAGATGAGCTTACAAAAAAGTTTGATAGGTAATGCGATACTGCATCTGCTTAGTAGTATGTTTTTGGCGATTGTGAGGAATGTTTTGATAAATGCATAATAATCCTGCTTTCAACACTAAATCCAATGCTCTGATTTACATTGTCGTGCTAGGCAAAGTTGGTACGAAAAGGAAAATTGTACCTTCAAGCGTTCTTCGTATTCGGTTTTTGCATTAGTTTTTTTGTCGATGGTGAAAAGTGGCGTCTGGGTAGCTTTAGACACTATTGTTGCACCTCTTTTAAATTTCCATTCTTCCTAAACCGTGAACGTTGAAAGTTCCAATTGTACTATGTCTTTCAATTCGATATGAAAAGGCATGTGAAAGACTGTTCACTGTTCGATAAATCAATACGTTAAAAGTTTTGATTAAAGTTTGTTTTCAACTTATTAAAACTTATTATTTTTAAATCCTTTGATCTCTACTGCGAATAAAAAAGCCAAAGTAGTCCCTAGTCAAGAAAAATTGGGAACTACTACCGTAGATTGATTAGTGTATTAAATAGTACACCTGAAATATTTTTTGTGGAAAGGCTTGCTTTGCGCTACATATGGAGTATATTGAAAAATTTAGACTGCTGGCTCTGCTGCTGAATGATCGTATATCATTTCAAGACCTCTAGAATGGTCAACTTGATTTCGGTTTTGATTTGTTATTTCAAGCTTCTCTTTTCCTTTTTTTTTTGGAGTTACACAAATGATCATATCCGACATCGAGTGGATGGCTGCGAAGCCCCGGCAAATTATTTTTGAGATTCAGTTATTTAAATTGATCACAACTCAAAAATGGGCTCAAAAGAAAGAGAAACCTACAGTAGTTTGTGTGCCGAATGATGCCACTCGTACGAAGCATGTTCTTGACTTATCTGGCAATGGTAGTTCCTGTTGTGGTGATTGTTGTTTTGGGGCGGTTCTATATACTTCATCGAGTTGTCGTTTACTGCCATACTGATTCGCTTCTATTCTGAATATGAAATGTTTGGGTTCAACTGTGAAGGGAACTGCATGGTCAAGTACTGACAATTTGTCTCGGATACAAAAGAGTAGACGGTAAAATAAAAAGGTAAAGTAAGAAGCGATAATTGAAATCTGGTAAATCTGAAGAAAATAATGAAAAATTGAAGCTTGATTCCTTTGGAATTATTCTTGTGAATTTACTCTACCTGTTGTTTTTTCGGATGCTCTTAACTCGATAAAATTCCTTGTCGTTTGTTATTTCTTCTCTCATTTTCTCTAGAATAACGGATTGAAAAGGAAAGATTTCAATAGTGCAAATTCATGAACAGTGTAATAGACAATATCGAAATGACTCAAAAATAAGCCATAAAGACGAATCTCTTTGGTGGTGTCTATTTCAGGCTAAGTTTCATGTATTGTATGAGTAAATAACAGGTTTCGGAAATAGTAACACTTTCGCTCTGTGTTTTAATTTATAGTCAACAATTTCCGCTGACGGGTCCCTCTGATACGTTTAGCATCGTTGCATATCTTAGAGTTAATAAAAGTATGGGCTCAAACGTTATGGTCTGTCTTGATACTAGCCAGGTCTTTGCTAAACCAACGTTGTTGCCTAATGTTACATGTCATTCTGTGGTATTGGATTAACAGAATTTGAGTTTTGGCTTCAAATTCAGACAGAAAATTAATTCGAGCTTTCAGCTCAAGAAATTAAAACCCAGTCAAGATGTGCACAAACTTATGTTG